GCGGAGCAGTTCCCACGTGCTTCTACCCGCTAGCAGGCTCCCCAGTGCCATGGGCAGATCTGAGCCTTCTCAGAGGGAAAACTAGGCCGCACGGAAAACCCTGGTGACCCTCACTAGAGGTTCTTCATGGTGGTTCTTTGTGGACCTTGATCAAAGCTGAAAGCTGTAAGGTTCACACACACACACACATACACACACACACACACACACACACACCCATGCCTTTCCCGAGTTTCCTGTTTACAGGCAGAGGTACCAAAAGCTTTCTGGTAGCCTTTCTGACCTCAGTTTCTCTAGAGTTGAGCCAAATGCTCCGAGGCTGTTCTGTTTGACAGACACCCTGAACCTGGGCTGAGACCTGGTCTCTGGGGCCAGAGTCTGCTCTGTCTATGTGTATTCTGTGCCTGAGAGACTGAGGTACCTGTCCTGGCTCACACAGCGAGCTAGCGGAGACAGGCCTAGGGCACACCCTTCGGCCCTGAGCATGACAATGGCTGACAAGGACCGACACGCGGGTCCTGTCCCTCTGCGCTCTCAGGTGCCTCGGGTTTCATCAGGAGCTCAAGGCCAGAGTGCCCTGGTGCCAGCCGATGGGGAGTTCTGGAAGTGAATTGGTGGGTTCTCCTGCCAGGCTGTCCCAGCAGACCTTGGTAGCTGTGCACCCCGCTTACAAAGAAGTAACTTTGGGAATCCATGTAGTATGCCCGGGGGACAGGATGAGGTATACTTTCTCAGGACTGAAACTCCCCTTTGGCCCTGGCCCTATGCCAGCCCCTGACCCCTAATCCAAGCCCACAAGGCTGCGCCCCGTATTCTGAGAGGATTGGGCCACTTTGCTCAGTAATACTTGCTGACTTCTGGTGCTTAATGTGGCCTGTCAAGGTAGAGAGGAGCAGGGGCCTTCTGGGGATCCAGTGGCAAGGAATGGGGCTGGGCGGGTGTGTGGTTGGCCTGTGTGCTTGTCACAGGCGCAGCCCCAAGGTTTAGAGCCTGTTTGTGAGCAGATTCTGCAAACTTCCTGCAGGTCTGGTTTTGGCCAAGTTGAGGTTGCAGCATGGTATCTAACAATATTCCAGAATAAACAGATCTTTATCTGTTTCCTTAAAGAAGCTCATGGTCTAAGAATTTTGAATTGTAAAATTGCTTTGAATTGTAGAAACTGAGGCTGTGGGGTAATCCCAGGAACCCCCAATGAACTGTTCAAATGATCAGAGTTACAGTTTGAATCGGGGTTCATAACTTGGCAGCCCCACCTGGTAACACTTTGAGACCTGGGCAGCTGGGGAGCTCGCCCCAGCAGGACGCAGTGCTCTGGAAGTGGAAGGGTGTCACTGGTCAGGGAGAGGGCCTCGAGGCCACCGAGCCCCTGGGAAGTGTTGGGAGGGGCCCCGTAGGGCAGATTATGACCCCTTGCCAATCCAGTCGGGACTCTGTGGACATGCCCCCTTCCTGAGTCCCGCACCGTGCGCAGTCCTCTGCGAGTAGCCGGAGACCCTGGCTCTGATCCACTTGGCAGGGCTGACATTTCTGTGGCACCACACTGGGCCTGGGGTGGGGGCTTTGCTGGTTAGAGTTAGAGCTCCCTGTAGTTGAGAACACAGGAAGCAAGGAGGTAGGGCTTTGAGCCTCCAGCCTTGGTACTTGGATCTGCGTGAATGGGCACTGAGCGGGTAGGGAAGCTCTGGGAGAGGCTCTGGGTCGATTTCTGAAGGTGAGGGAGAGAGGGGGCGTAATGAGCCACCCAGGCTCTGACGGAGCCCTTCATGGAGGTGCGGAGGGGGAAGGTTCAGGTGGGTCTGCCTGCTCCATCCAGGGCCAGAGACGCCTCCTGAAAGATCTCTGGGCCTCCAGCTCAGCAGCCCTGTGATGGGGTTCTCTCCCTCCAGCCCTTCCAGTCCATGCGGCCCCCGCGAGGCTGGTGTTTGTCATGACTCTTACTCTCCAGCTTTCCACACCCAGGCTTTATTGAAGCAGCCCTCACTGAGGTGTCCATTACAGACGTGCCCTTGGGAAAACATCCCCCTCCGCCCGCCCACCTCAGACATCACCCCATCAGCCCACGGCCAGCAAACTCCCACCCACCCCAGCCCAGCCTGTCTCCTGTGGCTCTAGACCTGGGTGAGGACAGGGTCCCAGGTGCTGCCCTCGGTCTTCTCACAGGATTTCCATCCTTCTATGGACATGATAACACTCTCTAAGGCTTGCTTGAACATGGAGAAATTACTTTCCTCAGTCGCACAGTTCTGGGACTCAGTAGTACAGTTCCTGGATGAGTCTGTTGGCTACATAAAAACATGTGTAAGTCATCATCTTGGCAGGAAAAAAAAAATGAATAAAATGAAAGCAAGCGTTTGTCATTTCAGCCGCAAGAGTCTTGTGAGCCCCCGTTCCCAGGAGGCCCTCTCTGCCTGCCAGAGAGAAGGCAGTAGGCTGAGTGTGAGGACCTCCATAGCCATGGCGAGGGAGCTAGCAGTGTGTAGGCAGGTCCCAGGGCTGTCTGGGCCAAGGGCAGGAAGACAAGCGGGGTGGGGTAGGGGGTCCCCAGGATCATGCCAGGGCCATGCAGCAGTTGGCAAAGACAGAACAACTCAGTAATTCCCTGAGATGCCTCCCTAGACTACAGCTCATCCCCCGCATGGGCTCCCCATGAGGCTCCTCAGCCCAGAGGAGACCCGAGGGTGGGGCAAACTGGAGCAAGCTCCCGCTGGCTGCTGGCCCACTGGAGCCCGGGCCAAGGTGCCCATCCCTCTCCCCAGGGTGAGTCCATGACCAGCCCAGCTCCGGCTTCTCTCGGACCTGCCTGCCCTACCCTGACCCTGGAGGGGAACAGAGATTGGCCCGTGATGCAGATAGAAACCCCTAGAACCATCCCTTGAATTTATACTTCCTGTGTTCGCTTTTCACTCCCCGCCCTCCACCTGCTGTCAGACAGGGGACTTGTTTGGGGTTTGAGACTGTCTCAAACAGTAGCTATCTGTGTGGCTGGAGAGTAGCACCTGAAGCCTGGCGTGCCAAGTGATACCCAGAAGAAGCCCTTTGCCCCACTGGACCCCTGGCTGTGGTAGAGGGAAATGAAGTCCAAACGTCTCTGAACAGTAAACAGTAACTTACTTCCAGCTTTGGGCAGAGTTTGGGGAGCTTCACCATCATGTGATAAACGTTTTGTATGTGATTCTCAGTTTGGTTACCATCTGTGAGGTTCTTCAGGACACAGGTGAAGAGCTCTGTAAACTCTGCATAGCAGAGCTCCTGAAAGAGGGTTGGGGGCACTGAGCAGTGGGAGTGCACTGCGGGGCACAGCTGAACCCCGCCTCATCCGCCCCTGGCTGCCCTAGCCTGATGAACCCTGGTGCTAAGCTCAGGCCCTGAGCCGATCCGCCCCCAGGAGACCCATGGAAGCACTCAGTGTCTTCTCTCCTTCCGGCCCTCAGCTGTGCTGGGATGCTGGCAGAAGGGGCTGACAAAGCCCAGGACCTGGCCACTGGTTTATCTGCTGCCTGAGCTGGAGGATCTGTCCTCAAGTTTTCAAAGTCTCCAGCATTGCTTGGTCTTATCTCTACCCCGTGTGCTACCTGAGGCCATCTCCTCTCCTTCTTCAGATAGGGGCCCAAAGGCCCAAAGAGTCGGCGCTGCTTACCTCACTGGTGTTCTGGGGCCTTCTGAAGGGACCCTAGAAGGAAGAGAATTTGGTCAAAGACACCAAGGCCGTGAGGACAGAATGTCTGAGGAGGACCCATCTTACCTCATACATCTTCTTCTCGTCCTCGAGATTCTGCAGAATCTCTTTACAGAGAGCCGTGACATCTTTCTCGGAAGTCACAGTGACTGCTGTCATCGGTGCCAAGTGGCTCTCTGACCCCCAGAGCACACAGACCAGGAGCACGTACAGGTGCATGGCACCTTTTGAAGGCGGCTCCAGCCAATCTGAGCCTGGGCTCGGCAGCATTTCTGTGGGAAGAGGTACCTATATATGCGAGTCTAAGGAAACGCAAACCTCTTATCAGTCATCAATGGCTTCTCAGGAAGACAGAGAGGACCTTATCGCTGGGCAAGATGTGCTGCTCGTGCATTTTTAGTGACCACAGCACACTTCATGGATCCTTGTCTTTGCTAAAATCGGGCCGGCCCTAAGACTGGAATCCATATGTGGAGTTGTGACCTTTCTGCCGGGTCTGAGCAAGGTCTCTGGCCAGGATCGGTGCCACGTGCGGGCGCAGGATGGGGCACAGGGAGCAAGTGATATGGTGGGCACACAGCTGCTCAGTGCCAGCAGGCCCTGAAGCCACAGGAAATGCCTTCGCCAGGCCCGCCTGCAAGGGCAAGGCTGGGCCCTCTGCTTGCCTGACCCTTGGGGACATACTCCCTTCTTCCCCCTCCCCAAGGGGGACACAGAGGATGAGCTCCAGGGAAGAGGCCTTCAGCTTGCTTGTCAAAGCAAGGAGGCTGCTTTTCTCTTAGCTGGACGGTCATAGATTTTAGGAGAAAGCACCTGTTAGATCTAAAACTCCATGTAAAAATAAAAAGCAGTTCAGAAAAATGCTACCCTAGACTCGTGTTCCAACACACTATGAATTTACATTTTGATGCTCAGAGATTAAGATCACACATTTGGGGGAAAGTTGGGTAAATATGCTGAGCTCTGACCCCTGTGGTTTGGTTTCTTTTTCTCTGAAAGTTTGTTTCTTTGCTGATTTACCTTTAGAGTGGTTGAGTGTGAGGGCCGGGCCTGGGGTACAGGGTCCTTAGCTTCTGAGGAGCACAGGGCCTCTTCAGACAGTGACCACACAACCTCCAGTGGCCCCTGGGCCTCCTCCAGAAAGACAAGCTCCCTTCTCTGGGTTAGATCCCCTGGGTGGGAGCCCTTGGCCACCCCAGAAGAAGACCCGGGAGCGTGGAATGCCACACTCAGGCTCAGCCGGGACCCCAAGCAGAACTCCCTCTCCCAACCCCCACCTTTTCCCCCTCCTGAAAATAAACCAGAAAAGGACACAAAGTAAAAATCAGACTGTGAATAATTTATTATGGCAAAACATCTTGAATAAATACAGACTATGAGCTTAAATAAATAAATAAATAAATATTTTAGAAATATAAATACATAAATAAATACTACGGATTCTGACAGTATAAAATATTTCCCACACCCACAGCAGGGTCCAGGTGGCCCGTGGCAGGCCCGCAGCACCCCTTCGTGGCTGTGGCCCACCCCTTGGTCCCTCCACAGGGAGGTCTTGAGTTTCCGCCTCTTTCCAGCGGAGACGGCGGCAGCCTGAGCAGCGAGCTCCTAGGGCTGGCCCTGCTGCCTCACTCCTGCACCGGCTCCCAGCAGTCAAAAGGGATGGCAAACAGAAACCCCTTGAGGTTCTCTTTGAAACTTTTGAAGGTGATAATCTGGGTCATACAGGAAGTTTCCTTAAGAAAAAATGAAAAATAAGAAACACTTGAGTCCAGGTGAGTGGGTAAGGTGGGGAGGCAGCAGTGCGTTTCCGCATGGCCTCTGAGCACTCAGCCGCCAGAAGGCCCGTGCCCCGGGGCCGGGGGAGGCTTGGTCAGGTGATGCCGTGGCCAGCGTGCTGCCCAAGGGCTCCGCAGCTCTGCCAAGGACAGCTGGGGCCGGAGCCCTGACAACCTGCTGTCCTGAGCTGCTCCTCTATGCCTCCTTGGTCCCGGGCCAGGGCCCAGAGGTCGGGCAGAGGCCGCCACCCATCACCCAGGCCTGACTCCCTTCCTGCAGGAAGAAGGGTATTTGGCGTCTTCAGCCTTCCAGGCAGTTCCCCCTCCTTGCTTCTCTGCAATCCAGGCGCCCCACAGGAAAGTCCTGTCAGGAGGCAGCTCGTGGGCCCGGCACTTCCTGTGGGCCTTGGGCAGGCCCTGAGTTTCTCCCGGTTTGCCTCGCCTCTGACCTCATTACTGCCAAAGATAAAATACAGCTCCCACTAGGAGGCGCTGTGGGCCTCGGAGCGCCCTGGCTTTGGCTCCTAGGGAGGAGAGGGTGCCTGTTGCTCCCACTCCTGGGGGCTCCTCATGATACATCTGTTGATGCAGAAACCTTCCCAGGTCCTGAGCGGCGGTGGCCACAGGCCTCTCCCCACCCATCCCCACCCTCCCAGACAAGGCACTCACCGGGGTGGATGGGCAGTACTGCTTGTAGTACCTGGCCATCATGGTCAAGGAGCCCTTGAGCTTGGTGAGGCTGCCACGCAGACCCTTCTCGAACAGCTCCAGGCGGGTCTGCAGGCACGTCGGCTCCTGTGGAATATGGCCGTTTCTTGGTGAGCGGAGGCCAAGCGCCGGCAGTGGCCACCCTCCCCATCACTTCCTGTGACAGCTCCCCCCCACCCCGGGAGTAGGGCCTTGGAGGGGGCACAGAACGATTCCGGACGGGTCTCAGGCTGGGTCCGGTCACACACGCTGCTGTGTGCATTGCAGGCACACCTCTGTCCTCCCTTCCTGCCTGGCTCAGGCCACCTTCAGCCGGCACAGCCACATTCCCTCAGCCTGCCGCCCTGTCATGAGGGTCCCAGCCCCCCCGCTCAGCTCATCCCACCATTCAAGGAGAGGGGCGGGTGGGGCGGGGCACTGCCTCACACTTGCCAAGTGAGCAAGTGTTGCTCCTAAAACCCTGTCTCCACAGGGCTTGGACTCGGGGTACAGTGAGAGCCCCACGCCCACAGCCGCATCTCATGAAACCCCACCTTTCCGCTGTCCCCTGGTCATCTCAGCCTTTGAATGCCAGGCCTGCCCGTGGCTGCTCAGCTGATAAAGGAGCCCACGTGACCACCACAGGAGCGGGGCGAGCGGCACCCAGATGCTGCCCCCTCCTCGTGGCACCCACCTGAGCAGCAAGTAGACAACCCTGTGAGGGTCGATCTAAAGCCCAGCCCCTCAGGACACAGGCCCCTGGAGAGGTGTGCCAGAGAGAAGCATCTTACCTGGGGCTCGAACCGGTCATAGACGACTTCCACGGTTTCATTCTGTGGAAAAGAAAGCGTCGTGTTATCAAGCTGTCAGGCAGGGCCAGTGCGGGGCCAGCAGGGTGGCCCCAGTGCAGCCCACACTCTTCCCTCACTCACCAGCACAGCAGCTGGGTCACTAGTTTGATTCAGGAAGCTCATGGCTTCCTTGATGGTGGCGTGCACGTGTTTCCAGGGCCGGGTGACAGGGCTGAGCAGGTCAGTGGGTGCACAGATGCTACAAACCACAGTGCCAAGGAGAAGCAGGTTCTGCAGCCACATCCTCCTGAGGACTTTAGCCTTTCTCTCTGAGTACTGGGCTCGATGGCAAAAGAGCCCTTATATACACAGTTAGAGGAAATGATTAATGGTGACCACAAAAGCCAGGGAGGCGGGGGAACTACCTGAACTGTGGAATCTCCTGGCCCTTATCAGCGGCACATGGGAACTACAAGCCTTTTCCTCAGGTGGTCAGGCTCGGGGGTTTTCATTAACGAGCCCTTCCAAGAACCAACAGCCCACCTGTCCACCTCCTTGAGTGCTCTCCAGTCCTGCCTGGGCAGTTTTGCCTGGGCCTAGGTTGCTCCTCCTTCGGAGGGGCCTCTAGGCACAACTTGGACTTTCGGGCCCGGAGTGGCCGGGGTGGGGCTTGGAAGACACTAAGTGGGGCTCCTGCTCCCCGGCGCCCCATTCTGCCTGTTATCCTCAGAGGTCTTTGGGCAGGTTGTACCCACCCTGGTGGCCATTCCAGTCCCTGCCTCCCACTCCTCTTCCCGCCCTTGTCTGGCCTCCGTAAGACTTGAGTGTGAGCAGAACTCCTACAGGCCTGTCACCCTGCTCTCCTATAGTCCAGCCAAATGACACAGGCCTGCAGTGACTCACATGGGTTCCCTCCAAGGAGCCAGAGCAGTCAGTGAGCTCAGCCGCGCCGAGGATCACGACCCCCGTGAGCAGAGGCATGACAACCATGTGCACATCCAGCCGCAGGACTGCAGTGTGTCCCTTCGTGGCGGTGTCCCGTCTGACAGCAGCACTTGTGGTTTACGTGGCCATAGTCAAGCTGCAGAAAGTCAGCCCCCCACCAAGTCTGAGTGCTGGCTGTGACGCCACCTGGCTGGGTGACTCTTCCTCTGAGCTACATGAGGCACACTGCCCTCTGTAGGGCAGCCTGCCCCTATGCATGGCCATGCTGCCACCCCCAAGGTAGCAGGAACCGTAGGGGCTGGCTAAGGCCATACCAGGCGCACGGCCCTGTGCTTCCCTAGCAAGCTTTTCCAGGTTTAATGTCCTGCATGGTCCCAGCTTCCCCCAGTGTGCAACACCAGAGTCCTCTCTGTAGAAGCAGGAACTGCTTCTGGAGCAGCTACACGCTCTCGAGGAGCTGACGAGTGTTTGGTTTTGATAATGGGTTCTGGAGAAGACGGCATGAGTTTGTGCTTGCACAAGGGAGCTGGCTCAAGCTGCCCCATGCCAGAACTTTCGTGGCCACGAGGCTGTGGGTCCACACATGTCCGCTTCTGTGTGCACAGGTGTCCATGTGAGTGGATGAGTCTGCACTCACAGGTCCGTCTTAGGGGAGGATGCTTTACATAAAGGTGCTTCTGCGTGAGCCCAGATTCCTGTCAGTTGCTTTGCAAGCGGCTCTGGGGCTCTGGAGATGCCCCTCAGATAGCAGAGAAGCTCCCCACTCCAGGTGCCCTGATGAGGTCACCACAAGTAAGGATGCTGCTGGGGCCTCAGACAGCAGGAGGAACTCACGGCCTGAGCACCGTGGTCTGCGTGTGTGGCCCCGGAAAGTGCCTCCACAAGGTGGGGCTTTGCTGCCCTTGCTTGGGAAAGCCAGGTGTTAGTCCTGCAGACCCCTCTGGGGCTATCTGCCAGGGCGTGGGGCCCACCCTGAGAGTCCTGCTTTTCTGAGCCTACTGGACATACATAGGTGGTCAGGCTGGGCTGGGGGGGGACCCTCCTCTGCCTTTCTTCACATCCTTTGTTCCGCTCCTTCCAAGGAGCTCTCAGGGGACATGAAAGGGGACAAGGATACTAGCTGCAGGAGCCACCGGGAGTGGAGGTCTGTGTCAGACAGGACTGGAGGCGGGAGGTGGGGAGGAAAGCCACAAGCAGTGGCTAAGCTGGCAGCCAGGGAGGCCAAAAGCCGGTGTGGTCCCTCTGGGATGGAAGGTCGCCTTGCTCCTGAAAACGAGTCATCACAGCTCCAACAGTTGACAAGCTTCTCCAGCTGCGCCAGGCCCTGTGCTGGGAGGAGGCAGATGGGCCTGTCCCTCTGGGGCCCACACCTGGCTCTTTGAGTTTCTCAGTCGGTGGGGGTGGGGGGAAGGCCACAGTGGACCCTTGTGCAGTGTGGTCCAGCCTGGGAGGGGAATGTTCAGACCTGAGAGAGCCAGGGGAATTATCTTCCAAGCTTTGGTAGCCAAGGCAGTTGGAGGGATTCGTGGGACACACAGTCTCCCTGCAACGTGAAAGAGCAAAGGGAAGTCAAGTGGGCTTGCTGGGAAGGAAGAGTGTTCAGAGCACAGAGAGGCCTGGGGCCTTAGAGGCTGGGATGGTAGAGAAGAGATAGAGTCTAGCAAGATTTAGGAAGTAGAATTCTGGAAGGACTCATGTAACTAGTTGATTTACTCATTCCCCCTGTTTATTTACTTATTTATGTATGTATGTATGTATGCAGAACTGGGGATTGAACACAGGGCCTTCACATTGAGCTACATCCCCACCCCACCTGCATTTTTTTTTTTTTTAGTCTTGAGACAGGATCTTACTAAGTCACTAAATTGCCTGGACTGGACTTGAAATCATGATCCTCCTGCCTCAGCCTCCCAGAGTGCTGGGATGACAGATGTGAACCATCACACTCAGCTTCATCCATTTATTGAGCACCTACCAGGTTCTCATCGGGGAAGACAGACACTAGGATGCTGGGAAACAGTCAGGGTCCTCCTCCTGGACTTTGTAACCGCACCGAGGGAGAAGCAAGGTTAGCCTCCTCACCCGGCTTTCCTACGCATGCTTTCGAACATAAGGAAGAGAATCTCGTGCAAGTTACCAGGTGCAGGCCCAGAGGACCACGGGGCAGGTCTCGGGGTTTCGGGCCGTGAGAAGGTTTGGCTTTGGAGGTCTCGAGTCCGGAGACAGAGCTGGGAGTGGTCCAAGTTCACCTGATGGTTGAGGCCACAGGATTACTCCAGAAGGGCTGAGGGCCAAACAGCGGGTGTGGAGCCATGCTCGTCGGCCCAGCAAGTGGCCGGCCAGCAGCCAAAGGCCCTGAGGAGGGGCAGGAAGAGAGGAAAGCAGGGCCCGCAGTTTGGCCTTCCGGTGCAAAGGCAGCATGTGCCGGACAGAAATCCACGGGTTTGCCGAGGAGATCTGTGGGCAGCTGCACATCTTTCTTCTGGAAAGATGACATCAGGGCTGAGGTCACGACACAGGCAGGCATTCCTAGATTGCATACACGGAAAGAAGTGGCAAGAGATAGCGCGCTGACTCAGGTGCCCCACGGTGGCTGCGGCAGGGAGGAGGCGGGACCAAACGGGCGGCGTGACCCATCTCCGCCCTGCGCATAGGGTCAGGAAAAAGTCCTCTACGAGTTTTCTGTGAGTGTTCCTCCCGCAGGCTCTGGAGAAACTGTGGGCCTGTGGCCATTCTGGGATGCTTATCGAAACAGGAAGTTATCACAAGGGGAAGGAAACAGGCCCCCGTCCCTCACAGCCCAGGACATGTCGGCGCGGGCATCTCAGATGATCTGACCCTTCCTCGTGCCTGCCAGCCCTTGGGGAGGTCCTTGTCCTCACGGGGGCTGAGACCCAGGAGACCAGTGAGGCCCTTGTCTCCACAACAGATGGCCGCAGGCCCCGGACTGGATTTGAAGCTTCTTCTGCTCGCTCTCCTGATGGTTTGCACTACCTCGACCTCAACATCAGGAAATGCTGTCACCTGGCCGGACCAGCAGGGGTGGACCAACATGAGTGTCCCCTTGGGGCAGCTGTTCCTAAAGGGAGAGTCCTGCTAGGTATCGACAGGGAGGCTGGCGTGGCCTGTGACTGCCCAGGGACTTCTGGGGGCTGAAGGCAGAGTTTCCCCAGGAGATTCTGCCACCCAGGCGTTTTTATGGCCCAGGCTTGGGCTCTTGTCCCTCTTCAGCCGCCACTGGCTCCTGCGCAGCCCAGGAAAGTCCCTCCTCCCTGAGCTCACCTGCCTCATCTGTGGAGTGGGTAAATTACCACCGGCGCTCAGCAGAAGCAGCCGCCCATCCCAGGAAACTCTGTGGGAGACTCCTCCTAGGAAGAGGCGGTGCTCTGACATCTCTCCCACTCTGGGAGCTTTCTGAACCCCGGCTGAGCAGAGGGCCCAGCCTTTTGATCTTCTGGAACAGCAGTCACACGCGCACCCTACCTCTAGAGGGCATCGCTCTGCTCAGGCATGGTGAGGCGGAGATCCCCACCGCCAGCCACAGTAGGGGTTGATGGGGTCCTGGTCACTCTGAGGAGTCCCTGGCAGAGCACGACGCCCTCCGTGGCGTGTTCTGCCCTGAGAAAGTGTTGTTACCCTTCCTGGCAGCACGAGGCTGAGGCCTCCTGCACCGCCTGTCTTGGTCTCCAAAAGAATACTCCGAAAAGGCCAAGCTGCCCTGGCCAAAGTCCAGTGTGGCCCTGCTCCCTGGGCATCCCCAGGCCCCAGCACTGATGAGTCCTCCGTCTGAGGCCCTGAGGGTGGTTCGGCCTGAGCTCGGTGGCTCCACCAAGCTTCCAGAAGGATCGTCGTCCTGCAGGCTCATAGGCCGACTCAGGCACAGGGTCAGGTGCTGGTCAGGGGGGCACAGGGAATGCGCAGCTGGAGGAGCTGGTCAGGAAGTGAGAGTGAGGAGCGCTGAGGACGGGCCTCGGCGGGGCTGTGGGCGTGAGGACGTGGGCAGGTGAGCGAGGAGTCCTGCTCAGGGTCTGCCTCAGGCCAGGGTGAACACTGCCGTGGTGGAGGGGACCCTGCGTCACAGGGCGGTCCAGGGGCTCTGCCAGGCTGGACTGGACGTGGTCAGTTTGACAGACTGAGGGCTCAGGGTGACCCAGTTGGCAGTGGCCATGTGGGTCCAGAGGCCCTGAGCAAGACAGCGGGAAGGCATTGGTGAAAGGGTTGGGGGGTGGTTTCCGGTGCGGGAGGAGTGTGCACCTCTAACTCCCTCCCTCCAAACACACTCATGCCCGCGCCCCCGAGCTACACCCCAGTGAAGGCCGAGCCAGGCCGTACGGCCTCCTGGGGCACAGCAGCTGTGTTGGTGATGAGCACAGGGCCGGGCCCATCTGCCTTCGGGGCAGGCTCGGGGAGCTGCTGGGGAGACGCCCTGGAGATGTGCTCGTGACGGTGCTTCCCATGGGCTCCAAGGGCTGGCTGCAAGGTGGACGGCTTCTGTCTTGGGTGCCTGAGGGCCGTGCTCCAGCCTCAGCCTTTCCGTCAAAGAGAGGAAGGCGTTTGCAGGGTCTCACCCTCTCCAAAGCCTTCGCCGCCCGGGGTGGGGCGCCTGACAAGGACTGTCCGTGTGACCCCTCCCCGAGCCCCAGCACCTCGCCCTCACGCAGCCCCAGGAGGTAGACTGCAGCGGAGCCCGAGTGCACCAACTGCAAAGCCGCGGGGCGGTGCCCCTTCTCCCAGAGCCGTCCGGGAACACCAGGCCAGGGGCCTGTCCTGCCTAGTCATCCCCTGTGCTGGCTGGGAGGAGGTGGTCCCCAGCCTCCAGGCCCGTGCCTTAGCCGGGGAGACCAAGAGTCGCATGCAACAGATGTCGCTGCCAAGGGATGAGGGGAGCCTGGCCCGGGTGTTTCACCCGCTTGCCCTCAAGACTTGCAGCCCCGTGAAGGACGGCAGTGCCTGGTCGGTGTCTGCATTACCATGGTCAGGAGAGCCCCAGCCCAGCCCAGGGACCAGGACACAGAGCACGGCGCGGCCCGTGCCATGGGAAGAGAGGGGGAAGGGGACCCTGCCCGCTGCCTGGCCCTCACCTCCTGTGCCTGGCCAGGGCTCGGCCTCGCCTCCCGCTGGCCTCTCTCTCCATCGTCACAGCCAGCCACCTGCAGGGCCCTGCCTGGTCTCCGCCACAGCCTGCGTGTCCTCCAGGCCCACGCAGTGCCTGCGGAAGGAGGTCCTGGGAGCCAGGGCCAAGGGCTGCTGTCCGAGGCGGACGTGAGGAGGCCGCAGACTAGGACTCTGTGGATCCCGGCGTGCAGGGAGGCTGCGGAGGGAAAGAGGCTGGGGTCACAGCATAACCCAGGCTAGAGTCAGACAGGAAGTGAGGTGTGAGGACGGGAGGCAGACGGGCACAGACGGCCGCCCCTCTGGGTCTAAGCGCTGTCTGCAGTGTGTGGGGCAGGTGCTGGGGAGGAGGAGGGACAGACAGGTACATGACGCATTTGGCGGTAAATGTGGGGTGCTGGGGGTGGAAGATGGAGCTTCCCTGGGGGCTGCAGCTAGAAGGCACCAGTGGACGCCTGGTCCAGGTAAGAGGCGACCCCAGGAGAGCCCGAGTTCAGGAGAAAGGACTCTGGTGCCCCAAGGGCCCTGGCCGGAGCGCTGTTACTCAAGTGCTCAGAGACTCGGAGTCACATTCATTTGGTTTCTGTGTACTGCGGTCTCTGGTCTATACCACGGCCGTCCTGGGCTCTGTCGGGTCCGCGTGCGGATTCCGAGTCCTTCGCAGTCCAGGAGCACAGCAGCAGCTTTGCTCGGTCCAGCTCTGCCCCCATGAGCCTGACTTGAGGCTTTTAAAGGGAAAACTGAGCCCTTACCCATCCTGTGGGAACTCACTCTACCTTTCCGGCCACACCAGCTCGGCTCTCTCCTGCCGTGTGTCCCCTTGTCCCCCTGGACTCGCGGATCCCCGTGTGCTGGGCTGGGCCGTTTCCGCCACCGTCTCTCTCCTCTGCCCAGGACCCTTCCTGCTGGTGTGAAATACAGTGCCCGCTGCAGCCCCAGCCCAGCCCCCTCCCACCGCCACCACTCCTCAGGCCTCAGCCGCAGAGTCTCGCCCACTGCTCGGAGCCCTGGCTGGCCTGGACCCTGCAAGGGGGAAAGGCGAAGAGCCCTGTGAGAGCGGAAGAGCTCTGGGGCCCGGCTGGCTGGACTCCAGGGGCTAGGGCAGTGACCAGGGCCCGGCCTCCACCCAGCCACGCTGGCTTCTGTATGCCTCAGTTTACCCTGCCCCATTAGACCTCTGTGCCCAGGCTCTCCCAGTACCATCTGCCCGGCTCCTCCCTGCATTCCTGCTCTTCTCTGGCTCCCTGGGCGCCCTCCCCTGTGGAAAGCACCTCAGGTCCGCTCTGCTCTGTCGGAGCCCCCACTACACCGTGCAGGCTGACACAGCCGGGAGGCCCACAGACACCTGACCCGGGTCTCGCCCAGCCCATCTCCCAGCACGGGGAAGTGGTGGTCCTGAGGGTGTTTTTGTCACTGAGTCAAACGGAGGCTCCAGGCCAGGGCGGGAGGACCAGGGCCTCTACCCAAAGCGAGAAGGTTTGCATTCTGGAGCGAGGCTGGCCAGATCTCTCTGACTTGTGCCTTCGTTAGGCACTTGGTCTTCTGGAAATTTTCTCTTTGCTTTATTCTGCATTTCCAAAATTTTTAGTAAAGAAAAGATATGCTCTCCCATCTTGCCCTCCTGGTGAACTATATTTTAAAAGTTAAAATAAAATTTCTGATGTAATCCACCTCCCTGGAGAGACACCTCGGACGTGGGAAGGCGGGCCCGCCGGTGTGCCAGTGGGCACCTGCAGTTTATGGTGGGACTCTGCTGCCCCCTGGTGCCAATGTGACTTGCAGACCTGGCAAGAAGGACAGCTCAGGAGATACCCGGAGCTGAAAGCAAGATGTGAGCGCTTTGGCCTCCTGTTGGGTCAGGAAGTCATCAGCCTCTGCCAGAGGTGGTGGAACGTGACATAGCATCAGTGCATTTGGGCTGAGGTAACAAATTACCTTAAATGAGGGGCTCCTAAATAACAGGCTGAGAAGCTCAAGATCAGGGCAAGAGGTACAAGACCTCGTACCGCCGCCCACGTTCCTGAGCAGGTCTGTGTCTAGCCCACACGGACGCCTGTCTGCTGCAGCAGGTTTGACGGCTGGTGAGGCCCTGCTTCCCAGTTCACAGAAGGCCGTCTCAGGGTCCTCTTATAGGGAAGGAGTCGGGGCACCTCTCTGGGTCCTTTGTTTAAGGGCACTTATTCCATTCATGAGGGCTCCACCTCCAGGACCTAAACACCTCCCCAAATCCCCGCCTCCGAATGCCATCCCATGGGAGATTAGGTTTCCGTGTAGACCTTGGGGTGGCAGCAGGGATACACACACATTCAGTTGAAGTCTGGCCTTGGACAGTCCCGTGACCTGACCAAGAACTGACCACCACTCGGCTGGGGACCACAGCACTGCCTGTGCTTGGGCAGGCTATGCCGGCTGCTGGCCGGGTCTGAGGCTTGATCGAGGATAAGCTCGCATGGGCCGGTGTTCACGCCTGACCCCAACCTGGCTGTAGGCCTGGCTAACTCCAGAAGAAGGGCAATGACAAACCCCAGAATCCCTTAAAAGGCCCGTTCTCAAACCCGTCACCTCCACCTGCCACTCCTGCTCCTGCTGTGGGTCTTGTCTATCTGACCCCCCACCTGCTCATCTTCCAGTGCCAGCTCCATGTCTGCCCCGCCACTGACCTTTGCCTACTGCGGGCATCAGTCATGAACACAGAGCTGGGCTCACAGGGAAGGAGAGGCTGAGGGAGGGCTGCAGGCTTCCCCCCAGAATTCCTTCCTCACAGTCTTTCTCCGTTCCGCGAGTGCTCCCAACCAATTTCAGTCGCAGCTGTTGTTCTCCCTGTGCAGATCCCTTTTCCCTGTGGTTGTCATATGGCCAGTGCTTTCTTGTCATTCAAGTCTCTATGCGTCACCCCATTGGACAGGCCTTCCCAGACCACGGAGCTAAAGCAGCCTCCCAAGCCCCTCATGCTCACCGCTACACCTGGCATCCACTACAGGACCCGCTGCAGAGGTGCCCAGCCAACTGCGCTGGCTCTGAACTCCCCGGCAGAGGGAGACACCGTGGCATGCAGCCTACACTCCAGGCAGCAGAGACAGCGTAGCTTCTGGACCAACGGTCAGCAGCTTCAAGAAAGGGCTCTGGAGCAGGACAGCCAGGCAAGAGCAAATGGCAGAGGCTGGCCACTTCCCCACACTCAAAATTCAACAGACTTGCAGGAGAAAAACTCTGCGTCGAGGTGTCTGCCAATTTCAGTGGTGTAAATACTCTGTCTGGCCAACTTCACACTACCGACAGTTTGATAGCTGGCTGACTTTATTCCCCCTCAGTGCTAGGAACTGAACCCAAGACCTTTGCACTAAGGCTACAAGCCCTTTTTTTTTATTATTTTTTAGGAGAGGGTCTTGGTAAGCTGCTAACTTGCTCAAGATGGGCTTGAACTTGTGATCCTCATTCCTCAGAGTGCTGGGACCGCAGGTGTGTGCTAACACACCCAGCAAGCTGACTTTTTTTTTTTTAAGATGTAAAAATTGGCTTTGTGAGCCAGGATGAGCTGGTTCCGGTGCATTGCTGGCTGGGGGCTCCCTGCCGGGTAGGTGTGGGAGATGCAGGGCAGCAGGCAGCAGGACCACAGAGGAAAGGGCTGCTGGGCCTCTCTCCGGAGACAGAAGAGGTGACAAGCAGCGACTCATCGTGGGAACATGAGGGCGGGCACAAGCGCTGCCTCACCCTGGATGAAAATGGGACCAGCCACCAGGTGCAAGAGGGAACAGGGGTGAGTGGGGCTGGGAGTAGGGACACGCAGTCCGGATTCAAGCTTTCTATCATCTCTCAAACTCTTCTGCAGCAACACACCTCCCCCTAGTGGTCACGTCAGAAACTGCACCAGCATCCTCAACTCCTCCCCGTATCAAGTCAACAGTAGACTTCCCTGACCCTCACAAGGCCTTCAGTGAGCCGGGCGGGGGACAGGTGCAGGCAAGGAAAGAAGGGAGTGATTTCGTTGGACACGTGAAGATTCTTCAGTAAGAGGAATACATTTCTAGCTAGCAGCAGATAAATTTTCCACCTCCTATTCAAACAGTTGGCCTGTTGCTTACTTATAGCCTCAAGGGAGGTGATGGAGACCACTACAAAGTGGCTCTCAGCAGGATTTAAAATTAACCAATCGGCTTTTTGTGTTTGCTTGTGAGTGTGCCCCAGGCCTCGGCCCTTGTCTGGAGATGGGCAGCGGATTCACAGTAAGTGAGTCACTGGTCCCGGTTGAGGCCTGTAGTGGCCTGTGAGGCCGTGATGCCTCAAAGGACAACATGAGGCCACAGCTGAGGATGCCCGGCTCCAACCCAATTAACTAAAAAGAGACTGCAGCTACAGGCTCCACACTCCTGTGATAAATTTCAACCTAGAGATAAGGTAGCTCTCTTGATTGGCATAATTTACTACTGGGAAAGTCTTTGAACTGACTCCCAAGGTCCTGCTCAATTCCTGTATTTTCTTCAGTATCCCCTTCCTTTTTTTGAAAAACTAAATAAACACAGGCTGCCCAGAGAAGCTCTTTATCTCAGCCCCCAGAGAATCGCGAATTCTCCTAGAGGATATTGAGCCTCTTGGAGCCCTAAAATCACACCACTAGATGCTTTTATTTAAGCTTCACCATCCACTTGTTTGGGAGGCTGCAGGCCTGATCAGTCCCTGATAGGCAGGGAATGGCTCAAGCTGGAAAAGAGAAAGGGGTGATAGGATGCTGGTATCTGATTTCAGGACCCAAAGCCTGAGTCTCCTGAAGCGCCTAGAGGATATCACTCCCTAGCATGGTGACAGAGAATGGCTCACTCTGGCCCTAGGGCTGAGACTAGAGGAGACACAGGGGAGGGTGCCGAGGGCCAGGGCCACTTGGGCTGAAAGAGGGTCAGGCTGCAGACTGGACTACACTCAGGGATGTTCCGGCCACCATCACGTCAGGGCTACGTGGCTGCGCTATTGGTCCCGGCTGCCCCTCCTCTCTGAGAAGAGCCTGTCATGGGTCAGGATGGACAAGCCAGCGGTGGGCCGCATTGGAGCTGGCAGCATGAGGGCGTTCCAGACTCAGGCAAACATGGGTAAAGGTTTAGAGGTGTGGTGAAACCTGTGTGGATCATCTAGGTTGGCTACGGCATCAGTGAGATTGGTAGCTATGGGGGAAGTACAAGCAATGGGTGGGGGTAGAGCCCATGTGCTATCTAAGATGAGGACACACAGATAAGGTTCACAGGACCCTCAGAACTGAGGAATTAAGTTTTTGTTTTTTGGGTTTTTTGGGGGGTTGCTGGGAATAGAACTCAGGACCTTGCACTTGCCAGGCAAGCACTTGTGCTGCTGAGCTAGACCCCCAGCCCAGAATTAGAGTTTTTTTTTTGTACCGGGAATCGAATTCGGGATCTTGCACTTGCCAGGCAGGCACTTGTACCGCTGAGCCATATCCCTGGCCCTGAGGAATTAAGTTTGAGACTGGCATGGTCAAGTTTGCAAAACTCAGTCTGGTTCCTCAATAGGTCCGATTGCCAGGCCGCACGTGCCAGGGTCAGTCTGGTGGCAGGGAGGCCTTCGGGGGGCCGCTGAACCACCAGGCAAGCAAGGTGGGGGTGGCGGCAAGAAGGCTCCTGGAGGCAGTGGGACGGCCGGGTCTGGCCTCTTTATTGCTGAGTCCAGGGCCCTAGAAGGGGTGAGGGATGCTGCTGCAGTTTCTGGAATAACCACTAGGGGGAGTGCCCCACAAAAGTCAAGTGCTCAACGTAGAAGGCTCAGAACTGTGCCCGGTACGCGGTGGGTAAAAGAGCTGGGGCAGCGGTGTTTGGCCAGGCAGTGTGAGAACGTGCTCACTTGGACAGCGTCCTCGGGGCAGCCGGGCGCGCATACAGCTCATCTGAAGCGGTCACGAAGACCTGGGCCAAATATGAAACGCAAGCCACAATGCAGTCGTTCAGGGTCTGGTTTATTTGCACACATGCCTAGAAGGCTGTTCAAAATCTGAGGAGCACGGGAGCACCCCTCCCACACCCCCACCTCCATCAGAGTGTTTTCTTTTCCAGCAGGAGCAAGACATGACTCCTCTGTTACTAAAATAAATACCCTTCACATTGCAGAAAGTAATAAATAAATATATAAATAAATACACACATAAATAAATAGCCTCGGTGGGATAAAAATGAGAACATGATACCTAACAAGGCCAAAGGGAGGCTGTGCATTTCAGAAATTAGATCATTCATGATTTGTCTGACACCGCAGGAGAAAATGAAAGCCGTTCTGGTCCTGAGTTGCGTGAGAGACGTCCAGAATCTTCAGGTGCCCTGCTAGTTGCTGCATGTCCAGTCCACAGGAGACAACAGGGGGACAAACCCACAGTTCAGAGGGGAGACCGTGGTGTTCTGCGTTGCCTCCAGCTGCTCGCACATGATCCTGCTGAGATAGTAGCTCAGTTTCCTCTGGAAGTCATTCCAGTCCCTGATCCTGATGGCCTTTTTCTGCGAAGAAGCGAGGGAGATGACGTCAGATGCACCACTCACCAGCTGTGTGGACGTGGGCCAGGAAGTACAGGCCGCAGGTCAGGTCGGGCCCCTCCCACAGGGGCACGCGGAGGACAGCTTACCGTGGTTGGGACGCGGGGCTCAGGCACATATTTCTTAAGGGACTATGGGAAGAGACCAAAGAAGACAGTCAGAGCCTGAAAAGGCCCTGCTATTCTGCTCCCCAGAGGCTAGGCAGGGCCAAGGCAGGGACCCCCAAAACCCTTGACAATTTCAAATACCTGAAGATTTTTCTTCATCTTCTCCGTTCCATTTGAGAAGGTCTTCACAGTTTTCAGGAATTCACACAAGTTTTTCCTCCAAAGGCTGTCGTTCTAAGGGGACCGGGAATACAGGAGAGCGCAGGAACTTAGGGAGCACCGTCTCCCGGGCCAGGCTACACTCAGCCCCCAGCATGTCAAGCCTGCTGTTGGAAGCATCTCTGAACAACCTCTCCTTGGTATTCTCCTTGCCGCAAGCAGGCCCCTGAGCTCCCCAGAGGGCACAAGCCTAGAAGTCAGTGTACACCCCAGGCAGGGCCTGCTCCTCCAAACGCCAGGCCCCAAGCACTGGATCCATGTGATCTCATAAAGGACCAGGATAGATCTTTCTGCACTTGGGGACAAAACGTCTCCCCAAAGAAACCCTAGAAATGGCAGACGGTGGGCCAAGAAAAGTATTTGTTTATAAGGAGCCAGACAGCAGGGTTAATACCTTGAGTGAATTAAGTCAGGGCTCCTTGACTGCAAGAAGAAAATCACACGGACCCCTGCTTGGACAGGGGTGTTCACCTTGGACATGGGTGAACCGTGGCTGCCCCCAAGAGGGCCCTAAACTCAGGGAATTCTTTGACTTCATGTTCAATTCAAGATGCGCCAAGCAAACAACAACATGACAATCCCTGCAGCTAACTGGGACTGAACAATAACTGCACACAATCGCACCAGGGCTGAGGAGGGTGGACAGCATAAGCTCCGAGTTTTTAAGAAGAAGGAAAGAAGCAGGCCGAGTCTGCGCAGGAAGGGGTTGCCCTACTAAAAACCGAGATTAAGGCCCCGGGTGCTCTTTCGCTAAATCCGCTTTTTCACTTTATGATCTAAAAACGTAACCTCCGCTGTTACAGTCAAGGCTGGGGTCCTGAACACCTGTTAAGTGCCTGGTGCTTTGTATCATTCGATTCTTGTAACACCACCGAGTCAGGTGTTATTCTGAAAAACGTATGAGGTGGAACGCCAGGGCTGACTTTACCAGGCAGGAGGTGGACTGAGACCTAGCGGGGTCCAAGCATGAGGCCGAGCACTTACACACAGTTGTACTTTGTCTTCTGCGTCAAGCGTGTCCTCCTGTGGGGAGACAGGGAGAGAGAGCCGTGAGGTCTGCTGGCTGAGGCACCTGCCGAGCCCCACTGCTCCAGGCCAGCCTCATCCCGAGTACTCGCCTCCGAGGAAGATCCTAAGTCCTGGTAAAGCTCCTTGATGGTCATGCTGCAGAGCAGCGCGGTGTTGTGCTGTGTGGTGGTGGGTGCTTGGAGCGCAGGCCGGAACAGGAGCAGGACGAGCAGCAGGGTGGGGAAGCAGCTCACAGCGGAGACGGCAGGACGCATTCTGTCTTGTCTGGGTCCTCTGTGGGGTTCTGAAGAGCCGGCAGCAGCCTCCAGCCTTATATTGTGCAGGGCAGTGTGCCCACAACCGAGGGCGAGGGGTGCGGGGGGCGGGCATCGGAAGGATCTTTATCTGACATGGAACCTCCATAGAAAACCACAGACTTATTCATCACTTTCTAGTACTCAAGATCAGCAAAATGGGAAAAAAGATTACTTCACAGGTAACCCCACTTCTTGTCAAGGAGAACAGAGAGGGGTAGAGCAGAGACAGGCGAGGGCACCCTCTGAGCAGAGGAGGCTCCTGGATTCCGAGATGGCCCAGGCCTCCCGCCCGGGGAGACCTCATCCTGCCATCCCTGGGCAGGCCTGGCCTTCACGGCCCAGTCTGCCTCTTGCTGTCTGGCTCTGGTCAGGGCCCCTGGAAGAGACAAGCTTGTCGGTGGCCTGTCACAGGGCCACCCATCTGCACGTGGGCTGGCACGCTGAGAACGCGTCTCCCAACACCCTCCAGGGCCGATGCCTGGTGCTCAGGCCCTGGAGGTCTCCCCTTGGGCTCTGGGCAGCTTTTTCCTGATGCTGCCGCTCCCGGTGGGTGGAGATGGAGCCCGGGCACGACAAGCCCGTCCTTCACCTGTCTGATAGCACAGCCTGGCTGTGTCCTGCGTCGTAGAGGCTCATGCCCTGCTGGGGACCTGGCTGCCAGCCCCAGGCTGCACCCTGGTGGCACAGAGAGCTGGGCTCGAGGCCCGGAGTACAAGGATGGTCTTGAGGGTGCTGTGACTGGCAGCCAGGGGAGGCGGCTGGCTTGGGAGGGTCAGGAGGTGGAATTGGCCGATCTGAGGGGCGAGAGCAAGGGAAGAGAGGAAGGCGGGGCAGCTCTCTGGCTTCGGGACGGGTCTGAAGGTGCTGGGACTGAGGGGAGCGGGCGGCGCTGCAGGGGTCTGGGCCCGGCCTGTCTGGGAGCACGGGTCGGGTGCAGGTCTGGGTGCCGTGGGGCGGCGGTGGCACGGGTGGGGTGAGAACAGGAGCATACCACACGGGAATCCACAGAGGACCTGAGAAACCACAGCCCGAGAGGAAGTGGGAGAGCCGGAGGGTGGCAGCCGAGGGGACGGCCCTGAAGAGAGAGGCTGTCCTCCGCCCGTGCGTGTGTGAGGCCGGCGCTGGCGCAGGCGGAGGAGCGCGGGGTTCTGGTGAATGGGTGCGGGTCATGGGGTGTGGAGAAGGTTCCTGGGGATGACTGGGCTGGGTGGGGAAGCGGAGGCAGGATGGAGAAGCCGGCGGCGGCGTGACATGGTCACTGTGGGAAGACGGAGGAGAGCAGGGTGCTGAGGCAGGGGAATTTGCAGCTTTAGGCTACAGGGGAGGCAGTGAACGCTGTGGCCCAGAGTGATGCTGGTAGGATGGAGCCTGTGACTGGCTCAGCCAGGACGAGGCCTGCCCTGGGAGGCGCCTGGGGTCTGGACCAGAGCGTCCTCCCCAACCACGGGGTGTCTCAAAGGGAAGCACTGCAGCCTCAGTACCAATCTGGGTGCCCTAGAGACACGGTCCGTTGAACAAACTTCCATTAAAGTTTGGAGTAAAGTTGGGAGTAGTGGAGGCCTACTGCGTACAGCCACCTTGCACACAGCAGACATGGCTCCTCCCTTCGAAACTTGTCTTGAGCTGGGTGTGGCGGCATACACTGCAATCCCGGAGGCAGAGGGATCACCATAGTTCAAGGTCAGCCTGGGCTGCATGGTGGGTTCAAAGCCAGCCTGCACTACGCAGGAAGACCCTGTCTCCAAAACAAACAAAACAAACCTCCTGGGGTCTCTTGGGGGAGTGTGGATGCAGAAGCTAGCAATGATTTAAACGGAGAGTAAGTGAGGGTGAGATAGAGCGCAGACGTCTCCGAAGTTTCATTCTGAAGTGACGGAGAGGCGGGCGGCCTGAGCAGTCACAGGGTGAGAAGGGGACGCTGGCTGACTGGCCGAGGTCCGTCTGCTGGAGACGCAGCGGCGGGGTGCCGATGGCTGGAGGTGGCCCAGCACAGGTGTGCGCAGCCTGTCCCTCTGCACAGAGACGGGGAGAGCTGCCTGGGGGCCCGGGCCCTCTGCGGGGGATGTGCAGCAACTCGGCCCCGCAGGTTGGAGGAAGAGGGGATGATGGCTTCTGTGTTTCTTATGAGACAGGAGGAAAGGTCAGCCTCTGAGGGCTGGGAGGGGGTTCCAAGACCTGAGGAGTGGCGGCCCAGGCTGGCGGCTTGAGCTGATTGCTTGAGGTGGCCTTAGGGGCAGGTAGCCTAAAGTTGGAGGAGGTGGGGAGGAGCCAGGTCTCCACGGGCAAGAGGAATGGAAGGGCTCACAGAGGACCTGCGGCCAGGTTCAGGGGGCCGTGGAAGGAGGCCGCCCAGGGCGAGGAGGGAGCGGGGTCAAGAGCAGCAGGCAGGAGGTGGTGCAGCCCCCCACAAGGCCCTTGGGTTCCACCAAACGCTTGCTGCTGCTTGAAGAACCAGGCAAATGAGCCGGGCGTGGTGGCGCACGCCTGTAATCCCAGCACTCAGGAGGCTGAGGCAGGAGGATCGTTGCGAGTTTGAGGCCAGCCTGGGCTACAAAGTGAGCTCAAAGTCAGCCTGAATGGCATAGGGGGACCCTGTCTCAAAAAAAAAAAAAAAAAAAGAACCAGGCAAATGGAGTCTGTTCCAAAGAGCACATACGGGTAACAGGGGGCTCCAGCTGCCCTGGCCGAGGCCAGCCGGGCACCTGCCACTTCTGTGGGTGCCTCCCCAGGAAACTCCTTTGAGGTTTGCCTGGACTCTCCAGGAGCCACTTAGGGTGAAATCACAAGAACCCACTTCCCTTCCTCGTGGGCTCGTCTTGCCTGGCCTCCAGCAGAAGCCCAGCCCAGCGAGGCAGTGAGTCCCAGAACCCTGGCATCAGCCCTGCCCAGGGAGGGCAAGCCGCTTCTGCAGCTGATTGCTATCAGGGGGAGTGGTGAGCGGCACATGAGCACTCCAGCACTCCGGTCCGGGAGGGCGGGCGGGAGGCCCTGCTGGCACAGGACAGCCAGCCCAGACGTGCTGCCTAGGGGCTGCGCCACGGGTGCCCGGGAAGCTCCAGGGCCTCTGGTTCTCTTCTGACAGATCCCGCTAGGCCTGGCTGGGTCCTCAAGGTCAGGGCTCAAGGGCTCAAGGTCACAAGTCGTGTGGATGTGGGGCCCAGACCAATCAGAGGCTTGTGTCTGCTCCTTCTCACCACCCCCTCTGCAGGCCTGTCGGAATTTTCTGGGCTGCCCACCACTGGCAGGGTCGCGGGCCTCAGTCGCCACGGCAAGCTCCCCATTACCCTCCTCACGGCATCACGTGTCAGATACCGCCTGCCCATGACCTCAGTGGCGCTTCCGCTGGTTGCCCTGACCACGCTGCCTGGTTCTGGCGCTACAGCAGGCAGCTTGGAGCATGCGGGCTCAGCATATCGGGTGCAATCAGGTGACTCACACTTACCTGAGCGAAGAGCTCAGAGGACGGTCTCCAGGGAGGGCCCCGTCCCCTCCCGGGGCCTTCACCTGTGTGCCCCCAGCTCTCCATCCACGATGCCCCCTCACGGCCCCTCCGGGCCCACTGCACCTCCTCCGCCGCCCAGTGTAACAGAGCGGACGCACGGGGAATCGCGGTCCGGAAGGATACACACCCTGGGGAAGGGCCAGGGGCAGCGCACCCTAACCCCAGGCCGGCGGGTTCTTGGCTTGGGTTTTTCCTCTTCCCTTACAGGAAAATGGAATCCAGAAAGAGCGGTGGGTCCTGATGCGGAAAGCTCGGCGCTGAGGGCCCACTGTCTCCCCGCTCCAGCAGTGGAACAGCTGGCCCAGCCTGCGCTACTGGAGACGGCAAGAGGGAGCACTGTGACCCAGCGCATGATCCGGAGCGAGGCGTGCCGCAGAGGACGTGCTCCGCAGAGCTGGTCTCTCGCTGCGGGGACAGCTCTCCGCGCCTGCTGTCCACTGCCCCAATATCTGGGGTGCTCGGGGTAACCCTGTCATTCCTGCTGTCGCCAATACGTGTATGGGCCTCCAGTCTTGGCACTCTGGAATACAAAGGTGTGGGAGACGTGTTCCTGTTGTATTTCTCGTATTTATCTCAGACAAAACCAGGAGCCTGGGGAGCGGCGCGCCCTCACACTCCCATCCTCAAAGCTGCCCCCGCCCCAAATCATGAGGTGACAACACTGGGCCTTAAACGTCAGTGACCCTGCCTCCCCGGCCCCCGGAAGCACTCTTCTAAGCGGGCGAGGCCTCACGTGGACTGTGGCCCATTAGCTGTGAAAGGATGTTTCCGGCTCCTAGGCCAAGAGTAGAGGGACAGCCAGGGTGAGCGGCAGAGGGTCCGAGCTGTCCAGGGCTGTCCAGGAGCGGAGCCCAGCTGAGCTCAGGCACAAACAGGTCCAGGTGAGAACAGAGCCGGGCTCCCCCCTACCACTCTGTTCGGTGTACAGTCGGCTCTTATCTCCTCCAATGAGATGAGGAGAAACCCTTTGCAAACATCGTTTCAGGCTTTACCCGTAAGTTTCAGAAAATGATGAATAAGTTCATGGGTTTGCTGTGAAGGCTCCACATCACAAAAAGATATCAGGGCATCTGGGACTTCACCCCGTGTCCCCCATCTGCCTGCTCCCTGCAGCGGGCCTGTAAGACAGGATGTGGGTTAGACCCCTCCAGGCTCCCACATGGCCGGGAGACCACGCCTTCCCAGCCGCACAGACCCTTCTGCTTCCCGCTCCTCATCCTCTCCCCTCAGCTCTAAATTTCCCTGCCGCAGGCCTGCTATGACTTATGTCTTATGCTTGAAAACAAGGGGCACCTAACCATGCCTTCGGGGTAGCTGGGCCAGGCTGGGCGTGAGGTGGGAAGGCCCCCGCTTAACCCCAACCAGCAGCACTCACGGGTTCAGGCTCTTTCCCCTAGGCTGAGCGGCAGAGGGTCAGAGCTGTCCAGGGCTGGGTGCCAGGAAAGGAATGGAATCTAAGAACTGCAGGTGATCTGCCATCCTCACAGGGAGAGCCCAGCGCTAGGGCTCGCTGCCTCTCCTATGGCCACCACCGTGTCACTCATCATTCACTTGGGTGTGGGTGTGTTTGGATCAAGTATACAACACTCACACCCCCGGCCAGCCATGAAACGGTCCGAGGTGCCCACTGCCCCAGTCTGAACACGCCACTGCCACAAGCCCTTCAACTCTGTCCACACCTGGCCCAGCTTCCCAGTATCATCCGAGGAAGGCACACAGCTGCCCATTCCTAGAGACTGTTTAACTTCTCGAGGAAGTTGAGTATCTTCCTGAAAACCCTGGATTATTTCCTAAAGTCCTACTGAGCTGCTGACCAACTGCCCCAGGCCTTTGTCTAGGCCTTTGAACTGGTGGCCAAGAGCCGAGCTGCCAGTCCTCCTCCCCGATATCCCAGGAGCAGATACACTCTCTGCTAACCGTGTCAGCTGGTGGACCTCTGGCTCTAGTTTAGTCTCAGAGTTACTGACAATCTTGTCTGTTTATTTATTATTCACTGTAGGGAACCCAGTCTTGCTAGTTTGTTTCCTGATTCCTGCCTGGGGGTGAACGAGGATGAAAGACAAACAGATGCAGAGTTAGTTTGGCATATGAGCAGCCAGGGGACTCATCTAGCGGGCAGAGAGCCCCGAGCCTCTGCCTCACCTCGCCTTGATCCACTCAGACCCAGGTACAAGCAATCAGAGTAGCAGAAGATTCATCTGCCTCCTGTTGTCTGTTCAGTACCTGCCCAGCTAAACAACCAGATCTCAGCTGTGTTCACTTTCCCCTAGAACCCGCAACATGCCGGCACACCTGCACGCTGCCTTTCTCCTTTATGTTCACAGAGGGGGTCACTTAGGCCTTAATCCTCCTACCTGGTCTCCCACAATTCACCCTCTTGTGACAATATTTATTAATGAAGCTCTGTCGTAAGAGTATGAAGCTATTTTCCTTTGTATCTCAAATTTCGAAGGATTCCTTCTCCTCCAGGAAAAATAAACACTTTGTAGAGTCACTTTATCCCCAGGGTTCCATTTGCAGAAGTTGTTTCCATTTAACTTGGGTCTGGGTCATAACTTTTATTCTTCTCCAGACTCTGACTTTGGGTATTTCCTGTATTTCCTGTCCTAGTCCCTGAGGGGCTCACTCAGCACTGCTCCTAGCTCGGTCACCTGCATCAGCTCCACCCCTCATTCATTCCCCTCCCCACTGCCCACATCAGCCTCCTCATGTGCCTCTGCTCCACCTACTCTTCATGGTTCCCACAGGCATCCCCACTATGGTCCAGGCCCGGCCGCCTGGATTCCCACCACAGCCCTATCCCGGTGACCTTTCGGGACATCTCACCTGTGCTCTTGTGTGTATTAGTCAGCGCTTACTTAGAAACAGATTTAATGCAAGATGTACAAATATGTAAGAATTTACAAGATTGGCTTACAACGGCCGCCCACAGAGTCAGGTATAGCAGAGTGCAGAAGGGCTGCCTGTGAGCTAGAGATCTGAAGGATCCAGTTGAAGGTCTGGAGCTCGCTGTAGTGTCCTGTGCAGGTCTGGATCAGGAGGAGGAAAGGTGTGCAATGGAAGGCTGAAGGGTCTGCACTGGAAGCCAGGAGATGATGTCCACGGCGAAGGTGAAGACGAGCTCCTCCAGAGAGACAGAAGCAGCTTTCCTTCTTCGTTCCCCTTTCTACCATTCGGGTGACAAGGCTATCCATGGTGGGTATTCTGTCTCCCACAAATCCCCTCAGCAACACCTAGAACTATGCCGATCCAGTTTAGTTGGGCATTTCTTACTCAAGTTGACACAACCAGTTAACTGTTACAGTCCAGACCTTGTCAACCTCACAAGCAGATACATTTCTTTAAACCATAATCTCCAGATACAAAAACAAGTTCATTGGGGCTGGGGATTTAGCCCAACAGCACAGCGCCTGCCTGGTCATGAGTTCAATTCCCGGTACCAGAAAAAAACAAAAACAAAACAAAACAAAACAAAAACAAGTTCATTATTATGCCTAACATGTTTTAACTCTCCTGCATACAGATGGCAATGCACTAATTCCCTCCCTGGAATAGAAGGCAAGTTTTCTTTGGGTGATAATGACTCCAAACATTTCATAACCTAACACATTATAACATAAACTTAACAATACTGAAGAACCAATATCAATTCTATCGACATTATATTACATAGGAAGCATGTTAGGAGAAATAGTACAGAAATTACAATCCTCTTTTTTGTAGCTGATCATGGGTAGTTAGTATTTAGAACTACCTTCTTCTACTACCCATTCTGTATTCCCTTGGACTTCAGCAAGCACCTCAGCAGGCCTTGGTTCTTTCCCTGGTGGGGTGACCCATGCCTTCATTTCTAAAGATTCTGGACCATGTGTCATCCTGCCTGGATTGGGTTGTTGTAGTTTCCCACTGAGTTTAATTACAGGCCACAGTAATACTAAGAGGAGCCCTAAGGGGTCTCCTGAACTTCAAGTCTATTCTTCCTTCCCTCCATTGTGGAGTAGTAATCCTATTTCCTTTTGATAGTCTGATCAGCACCAACTCTGTATCTCCCTCTTTAGCTTGTTTAGTCACAGATGTAAGGAGACCAAAATGGCCAGAGGGAAGTTTTAGCTTCCAGTGCAGTAGTGTCATTGTCATGCTTCTTGGTACAAGCCCCCCGCTCTGGAACTAAGACTTCTAAGCCAGCAGAACGTAAGGTCATGGGAGCAGGAAGCAAAAATTTTGCTAGTGAACAATTAGGAATAAAGGTGAATAATTCCATTCCCACTTCCACCCCTTGATTCCTGAACCCATAAATCCTGGCTATGGGAGACACAGTATCATACAGTAGATGCTGGTTCAAAGCATATACAGCCTTTTGAAGAGCCTTGCCCCAGCTCTACAAGTTATTACCACTGAGCTGGGGCCGTAACTGTGTCCTGAAAAGACCATTCCACTTTTCTGTCAATCCAGCAGCTTCTGGATGATGAGAAACATGGTGAAACCAATGATTTCCATGAGCGTGAGCCCATTGCCTCACTTTTTTGATGTGAAATGTGTTCCTTGGTGTTATGGTTTGTGCCTGGATGTCCCCCAAATCCTCATGCAGTCCTGGGGCAGGCTTCTAGATTTTTGATTGATCCATGATCCAATGCTGGGATTATGGGTGTGAGTGCTACACCTGCCCTGAGGCGGGTAGTTTGCATACAATGTAAGGGAGGGAAAGAGGCTGCTTGCCTCTGCTCCTCCCTTTTGCTCTTCTTGCTCTTGCTGTTTTACACCACCATGAACTATTGCCTCTGTGCCATGTGCCACCCTGCCTTGGAGCCAGCCAAGTACAGACTGAAACCTCCACAAACTGTGAGCTAAATAAACCTTTCCTTCCTTAAGTTTGGTCATTGGGTATTTTGTACCAGCAACAGGAGAAAAGTAACAAAGACAGTCAGAGGGAAAAGTGGGCAGTTAAGGTGGGTTCTAAGTATCAGCATTATCATACTTGGTCAACACAGGATTCATTTCCTCAGGTATATTAGGCAAGGCCAACACCACAGGGGCTGGTTGCGGGGATGCCTCTGCCACTGTGGGTGGGGGAATCTCTTTCTCCAGCAAAATAATCTCATCAAAGTCTAGGAACTCCAGGTCCTCCTAAACACCTCCACCCCCATTGCTGGGATCCCATTCTTTTCTGATCAGTGCTTTCACCCTTACTTCAGATACCCTTTGAGGTTGAGCATTAAACTTACATTTCGTTACAAGGACATTTCAGCCAATCAAATTAGGAGGGCCCATGTCTGGGTTTCTGTAATCTTGGTCCTGTGAAGAGAGGAGATTCTTTTCCAGGACACACTTAGAAATTTTTAAGTTTTTTATGTGTGTCTGGAGCTGAGAACTGGGATCTTTGAGTTCCTTATTTTCCTCTATTAATTTGTCCTCACAGTTAGAAGACTTTAGATTTCCTATGGGTGGTTTGTTTTGTTTTGCTTTGTTTTGTTTTGAGACAGAGTCTTGCTATGCAGTTCAGGCTGGCCTTGAGCTCACTTTATAGCCCAGGCTGGTCTCAAACTCGCAACAGTCCTCCTGCCTCAGCCTCCTGAGTACTGGGATTACAGGCATGTGCTATCCTATGGGTGTTTTGAGCTCACTGTTTTCCCCCACTAGTTTCTCCAGAGGTGCTAAGAGCAACAAGTCAGCATCATTGTATTTCCCACTCTGCCAAAAATATTCAAAAGTTTCATATATGATGTTGCTAAATTCCACACATCTCACAAGTGGTGAATTAGGATAATCAAGCGGATCTACATTGCACATTACTATAAACAGTTCATGCCAAGGATTACCAGTATTCACCACAGAATTAGGAGAGACCATGGCATCTTTAGGTCTCATCAAATTACAGAGCCCACTCCAGGAATCTCTAAAGCCATTAAAGAATTTCATCTCTATAATTCTGCTGCTCTAGAGTCACTCCTGGTACCAAAATCTGTATCAGTCAGTGTTTACTGAAGAAACAGATTTAATACAAAATATACAATTATATAAGAATTCACCAGATTGGTTTACAATGGCCGCCCACAGAGTCAGGTGTAGAAAAATGAAAAAGGGCTTTCTGCACACTGGAGATCCACAGGCTCCAGTCAAAGGCCTGGAGCTCGCTGTGGTGTCCCATGCAAGTCTGTGTCAGGAGTCCAAAGGGTCCGAGATGGAAGGCTGAAGGTCTGTGCTGGAAGCCAGGAGATGATGTTCCAGGTGAAGATGAAGTGGAGCTCCTCCGAAGAAGCAGAAGCAAACCTTCCTTCTTTGTTCCCCTTTTATAGCATACATGCGACAGGCCTATCCAGGGTGGATATTCTGTCTTAAGTAAATCCCTCTGCAACACCCAGAACTATGCTGATCCAATTATTTGGGCATTTCTTACTCAAGTTATCATAATAAATAATTATTACATTGTCCTTCCATGATTTATGGCTAATCCACTGGGCCCATGGCCAAGGAGAAGTACTACTTAGTTTTTTTTTTCCTGTAGAAATCCCACAGAAGTTTTGTAGGGCTCCCTTCAGTCCAGGGAACAATCAGTCATTCTATTTGAGGGTCCTGCCCCCTTAAAACTTCCTCATCCCTCTTCAAGGCTTTGATCTTCTTTCATCTGTCATACCTTCCTCCATCTCCTGGGGCCCCATACCACATGGCATACGCTGTGCTCCCATTTTATCATACTCTAAAATTCTCTCATCAGAGTCCATATAAAACAACTCTAATGGAAACGCCCATGTGGCCTTCTTCCTAGTGACCTGTCAGTTAAACTACCCCTCAAGATTAGTTGGCAGTTTAACAGGATGCTGAGTAGGACCTTACCTACTATTCTCCTGGAAAAGAAAAGCAAGTGCCTCTCTAAGCCAAGAAGACAACAGAGACAGAAGGCCCTAGAGCCTCTACCCTGCCAAGCCCAGTGCAGAAAGGACATGTGGTCTCCCACGGCCAAAGTGGACACCTGGACAGTGTAAGGGCTCGAATGTCCCATCAAGAAAGCTGCCTGCCAGGCCAAGGGACTCATCAGAAGGAGACTGAGAGATGACCACAAGCACTGGAGCAGGGGGCTCAGAAAAGACTGAATACGGGGCTTCCTTTGGTGGGGAACCGTGAGGTCTAGAGGTCCCTCCCTGTTTTTAGGCGGAGTCCTAAAGGATGTTTGCACAGGCCCCATGGGGGCTTGGGGAGCTGCTGGCCATAGACAGCCTTGCACCAGACAAGCCCACCCCCAGAGCAATACCAGATAGGAGGATGACGACAGTGCCTGTCATAGGAGCAGTATAGCTCTCTTTACATCCTCCTCTCCATCCCATTTTACCAGGGCAGGATGGGTCCCAAAGAGAGGGGAGAAAAGAAAAGGACCAGAATGTCCTCTTCTACTCACAGAGCTGGGCAGTCCTGGGGCAGGACCTAGGAAGATGTCACACCAAAACAGAGGCTAAGGCTCTAAGATGTGCCAGATTTTCCTTTATGCTGTGACTTGACAGTTAAGAATCTGCACAAGGATTTGACCACTGTCTGGAATGAGAGTCAGAAAGTGTTATGGTTTGGGTCTTAAATGTTCCCCAAAGACCTATGTTTTAAAGGCTTAGTCACTGACCTACGGCATGGTTCGGAGGTGATAGAACCTGTAAGAAGTGCAGACTAGCGGATGGAAGTTATGTCATCGGGGTGGCCCCTTGAAGAGAATATTGGGACCATTCTTTCATCCTGGTCCATCCTCTCTCTCTTTGCTTCCTAGCTGCCATCTGTTGAACAGCTTCCTCCACCACTTTGCTGCCTGGTATGATGTTCTACTGTCCCCCTCCAAACCAACAGGACCAACTAACCATGGATGACACCTCTGAAACTGTAAGCCAAAATAAGTCTTTCCTCCTTTTTAGTTTATTTTCTCTGGTATTTTGTCACAGTGACACAAAGCTAACACAGGAGAAGAAATGAAGACAACAATGGAGAAAAAACAGAGGTGCCATTTTCTGTGTGTTCTCACTGTGTTTCAGGTGCCCCACAGCCCCGTGAAGGTACGTGGCATTCCAAGGCAGCAGTGTGAAGCTCCTGTTGAAGTCGCCTTCACTGAATGCCAGTTATTCCTGTGTACTTGCCTCTCAATTTATTATTTTCCTTTTTCTCTGGTGGTATATGTTTATAACATCCTATAGTAAAGGCATTCATCATGGAGGAATTAGAACATATTCACATCACACACTGATCCTTATTATCCCCCTTCTCCGCTCTGCCCTCCCATGTCCCCATCCCCAGATCTTCTTTCTATCCTTTCAAATAACTAACTCTTTAATTCATTAATCCTTTGTTTTTTAGTCTCAATTTCACTCATTTCTTTCCTTCTACTAGTTTTAGAATTGGATTGTTGTTATTTTTCGAGGACACTGAGATATCACTAAGTTATATATTTGGAATTGCTCTATTTTTTTATGTGTGCATTTACAGCTATAAACTTCTCTCTTAGAACTGCTTCCATTGTGTCCCATAGGTTTTGGTATGTTGTGCTTTCATGATCATTAGATTCTAGGAAATGTTTTATTTCTTCCTGGTTTCTTCTGTAGTCCACTGACTATTCAATAATGTATCACTTAATCTCTAAGTCTTTGTACAATTTTGTTGCTTCTTTTCCTTTCAATTTTTAGCTTCCTCCCTCTGTGATCTGATAGGATGCTCTGGAGTATAGCAACTCCTTTGTATTTATTTAAGCATGCTTTATGACTTACATATGGTCTAACCTGAAAGAGGTTTTTGTGTACTGCTGAGGACAATGTGTATTCTATTGTTAGACGAAACAGTGTAGATATTGGTTAAATCCATTTGTTCCATGGTGTGGTTTAACTCTGATGTTTCTTTGTCGATCTTCTGTCTCCCACCCATTTGTGGGAGTGGGGTATTGAAGTCCCCCACTGTGATTGCATTAGTGTCTCTTTATCCTTTTAAGTCCAGTAGTTTTTATTTTATGATGTTGGGTGTGCTGACATTTGTTGCACAGGTATTTACAATTGTTCTCGTCTTGTTGAATTGTTCCCTTTACCAGTATGTAGTGTCCACCTTTGTCTCTTTTAACCACTTTTATATCGAAATCTGCTGTGTCTGAAAATAAAATAGCTATTTCTAGGCTGGTTGTGGTGGTGCACGTCTGTAATCCCAGCACTCGGGAGGCTGAGGGAGGAGGATCATTGTGAGTTCAAGACCAGCCTGGGCCACAAAGTGAGCTCAAGGCCAGCCTGAACTCCATAGTGAGACCCTGTCTCAAAAAGACAAAAACAAACAAACAAACAAACAAACAAAAAATAGCTATTTCTGCTTGCTTCAAGCTCCAGCTGAATGGAGTATCCCTTTCCATCCCTTTATGTTTAGTCTATGTACTTCCTTTGGATGAAGTGTGTGTGTCTTCTGCAGGCAGTATATGGTTGCATTTTTAATCCATTGTGCTAGTCTGTCTTTCGATTAGGGAGTTGAAACCACTGACAAAGTTACTGTTGTAAGGTGTTTCTTGAATTTGGTTCATTGTATTATTTTTCCAGTACTGATTCATTTCTTTTCCTTTTTGTTTAAATACCCTCCCAGTTAGATATGTGCTTTCTTTAGGGCTTTTTGGTGCTGATGGCCTCCCTGTCTCTGTCTGAGATTTCTTTAAGTATTTTCTGTAATACTGGTTTTGTGGTCATGTAGTTCTTTAGGATTTCTCTGTTGTGGAAATTCTTTTCTTCTCTGTCAATTTCAGAGGCTAATTTTGTAGGATATCATGGTCTGGGTTGACAATTATTTTCATTTAGGGCTTAAAAATCTCCACCATAAGTTCTCTTGGCCTTTAAGGTTTATTTATGCTGAGAAATCTGCAGTTATTCCTATAGGTTCACCTTTATAAGTTCCTTGCTATTTTTCTCTAACAATTTTTAATATTCTCTCCACTTGCTGCATTTCTGGAGTTTTGATTATGATGTATTATGGAGAAATTCTTTTCTGGGTGTGGCTATTTGGGGTTCTATATGCCTCTTATACTTCAATATTGAATTCTTTCCCCAAATATGGAAATTTTTCTGCTATGATTTCAGTGCATAAGTTTATGCCTTTGAGTTATCATTTAATATTCCTTTATTCTTATAATTCTGAAAGATTTTTTATTGTTGTTGTTGTCATTTAGCACCTGTTGGATCCAGCTTACATGGTATCTTGTTAGGGTATCAGTGAGCCTGTGATTCACTACATCATCCCTGTCTTCTACTTCCGACACTGTCCTCACACACTGGTCAAGTCCGCTACATATGCCATCCACTGAATTTTTCATGTCATGAATTTCTGTGTATTTTCTTTTTCATACTTCACTGTCTAATTCTTTCTAATTCTAGTCATTTATGTCTTGTCTAGCTAAATTATTTTATTTTTTGTTTCTTCTTTTAAGCTCATTGAACATTTTTATGGTAAAGTTCTCTACTTGTTTAAGTAAATCCTCTTTGAGCCCATTAAACATCTTATATACTTACTTATGTTTCATCTTTTATCTCCTCAAACAATTTGACCATTTGGATTTTGAGTTCCTCTATGTCAGTGCCTGTGAGATCAGCATTTGAGAGATTAGGATTTTTTTTTTTTTTTAAGGTATCTCATTCTCTTATTTTCTAATTCTGTTGTTTTTGTGCTGGGGTAGAGAATCTGTCACCACTCTTCAGTTAGATTTTGTCTCCCTATGATGTGTCCTTGGGGCTAGTTATGTTTTCATGTTTATGTCCATCTTGAACCTATTTAGCATAGCGTTTGAGGGTCTTCTTATTGTCCAACCCTCCTCTGGGGGCTTGATCCCAGTACTAAGCAGAGAGGATAAAACAAACCACAGCCATGTCGATGGCACAAAGACAAACCAAATATCAGCATACAGTAAAAAGCAACTAAAAGCAATAACTATGCCACCATTAACAATAGAAAAAAATCAGCAATAATAATAATATATTCAAAAACATACTCAATATTGACATACCCTAAAACCAATAATAGCTATAACTATTAACATCATTAACAGTAGAAATCTGCAATAATAATGTAGACATAAAGGCAAACAAAATATTAACATCAGTAAATATCTACTAAAAGCTATAAGTATACCACCATTAACAATAGAAAGGAATTCAGCAATAATAGCACAGGGTCAACTAAACAGCTAAAAATCAGTAATTATTATTTTTATGTATTAATATATGGTTAATAGTAGTAACAATAAAATGGAGGATGTTGGAGAATGGAAAAATGAAAGAAATAAAATTTGAAAAAGAAGGTGGGATGGAGAAAAGTGAGAGAAAAATTCAATTAAAAAATAAAAGAAATAGCCATGTGTCATGGCACGCACCTGTAATCCCAGCACCTGGGAGGCTGATGCAGGAGGATTGCTACTAGTTCAAAGCCAGACTGGGCTACATAGTGAGTTCAAGGCCAACCTGAACTACATAGTGAGACTGTCTAAAACTCAATCAACTAGTCAATCATAGAATTAGGTAAATTTAACAGAAAAACACAAACACAAAAGATGAGGGAAAAAAGGAATAAAAATAAACAAGAGAAAAAGAAAACAAACCAAATGAACAAAAAACATTCAGAGGAAAGCAGAAGTGAGTCCAAAAATTTCCTCCACGTATTTAGGTGAGGAGTTCATTCCAGGGCCTGTGGTTATTAACTAGAATTCACCAGGGATGAGTAGGGGACGGACAGTCACAGCGAGGGCCTCTTTTCTTTCTGCTCCCTCTTTCTGCTGAGTTCTGCCCTACCTTTCCCGCTGGTCATGGTCAGACAGTTGTGTGGTGTCTGCCCTCAGGATTTGTCCACTCCAGCAGCCCTTAGTGTCTGCGCACTTCCGCATGCTCTAAGACACTGCTCTCCCCATCCAGCTTTACGGCTTGTGGCCTTGTGAGGTGCCCCCCCCACCACCACCATTCCAGAGTCCTCTCCGTCCATACGCACCGGGACGTGGCAATCTCCAGGCGGAGGAATATCCCCGATCTTGTTTGCAGATGGGAAAACAAACAGAACACTAAGCTCTGTGCTGAAAGCAGACGGCAAGGGCCATGCCGTCCGCAGGGCCTAATGTTGACGTTTTTAGGCCCAGCTCCCTCAGAAAACCACTGCATCCTTCACAACCTGAGTCACTGCTCTTCATACTTCTCAGAGGCCCTGCAGCTAGCCCACCCCTTGTCAGAAACTATCTTCTTGTAGCTCGATCCCCCCAGTCACTGGGATAGGGTGACCCCAGAGACCCTGGATTGTAGTTGTTCTGACTTCTGATTCCTGGAATAGTTCAGTCTTAAACAATAAACCCCTTCTCGCCGGGCATGGTGGCACACCTGCAATCCCAGCGCTTGAGAGGCTGAGGCAGGAGGATCGTTGTGAGTTCGAGACCAGCCCGGGCTACAAAGTGAGCTCAAGGCCAGCCTGCACTGCATAGTGAGACCCTGTCTCAAAATAGACCGAAAGGGAAAAAAAATCCCCTTCCCAAAACAGTTTCTGATTATATTGCTCCCAAATATGGTGGACGCTGCAGTGACTTTCTTCTCCCACTCTACCTTATTTTCAGAGTAAAGCCCCTCAATATTTTTTTTTTTTTTTTTGGTTTGGTCATTTTGAGACAAGATCTCGATATGCAGCTCAGGCTGGCCTTGAGCTCACTTTGTAGCCCAGGCTGGTCTTCAACTCGGAACAATCCTCCTGCCTCAGCCTCCCGAGTGCTGGGATTATAGGCGTGCGCCACCACGCCCGGCTCCCCTCAATATTTTTGCAGCTTACAATAGCCGTGGGCTTTTCCTGCAGCCAGCGCTGCCAGTCCATTGTTTCTTCCTGGGGCTGCCAGTCTCACCTTATCTTAGCAGAGGCACAACCTCCTTCCCAAGAGCCAGGGCTAGCACTGCAGACTGCCATATTCTTTCCCTGTTTAGTCTTCAGTTTTCCATTTTCTCTGGTGGATTCTCATTCTCCTGTCAGCTCTTTCTGCATTCCCAGAGCTCTACTTCTGCTCTTCACTACACTTCTGTTTTCAGGTGTCTCGGTTCCAGGTCCCCGGGAAGCTGTATTTTGCTGCTGCTATTTCGAATCACATTTGAAGACCCTATCCCCCAGTTTAAATTCCCTGACTAACTCATTTTGAAGGAGAACCTGATGACGTGAGTAAAATGCCATCCCTGCTGCAGTAGAAGCTCCCTGAGTCTGAGAGAGGGAAATTTCGACACATTTCTGATGTTCAGTGTCTGACGCATATTCATCTTCCTCTTGAATGCTTCTTTGTGGAGTCTCTCAGCTCCTAGACGCTCACTCAGAGAAAGCCCTTCTCCCAGACCTGCTCCGTCACCAGGACTCCATTCAGAGGTGTTTGAGGTGTCCACCTTTGCAGATCCACTTCTGCAGGTCCCCAGGGAGGCTCCTCTCAGCTCAGGCCTGGAGAGCTGGCTCAGGTGGCGTGGATACTGCCTGTGCCCCTTGGATTCCAGCACACAGTGTGGGCAGCTACGAGCTGCAGCAGCTGGGCAAATGTAATGAGCCAGCTGGAGCAGAAATGCCAAGAGCTCTGAGTACCGTCAGAGAAAGAGAGGGCCACAGAGCCCCGGCTCGTGCAAGCGCTGTCTGGTCCCAGCAGGCTGGCGCTGAAGTTGTGTGTGATTAACGATGAAGACTCAGTGTTCCACGATGCAGACCTGACCACACGGGAGGAGCCCCACTGTGCCTCCTCGCCAGAGCTCTGCTTTCTATAGACCTAGCACCCTCTGACGGTGCACGCCACTCGGGTAAGGGAGCAGACCCGCGAACATGCCCTAGGGCCCTCTGCGTCCCTCTCCTGTGGCAGGGGCCAGCAGCCGCAGGCTTCCGTGTTTCCCAGGAGCTCCAGGAGAAGCTCACTGAGTCCCTGCTGAAAGCTCTCTGGAAAGCACTGCCCAGCACCCCGTCCAATCAGTGAGTTGTTTGTCTTCCAAGGGGGACTTTGCACTTTGGAGGTGAGAGGATAGAAACCTAGACCTTAACTCACAAGCCGAGCCCAAGGGTAAGTCAGCCAGAGGGGAAAGCATCTTTCTGGGTCATCCAGCCAGAGCAGTGCCTTTTTCTCATTCACGCAAAGGCACCTTACGGATAGCAGAGGTTGTCTTTGCTTGCCTTTACGTGGTCCTTCAGACTTCATGGCTGTTTTCTGTCTCTAATTATGGGGATTAACTGCTCGCTGCAGGCACCCAAAGTGCAGGCATTCCAAACAGCAAGCAGGAAGAGGACGTGGAGCCCGCATGTGTCTTTCTGGTCTTGGTCACTGGAACTGTCCAGTGTCTCCAGAGGCTGTCCTCTTTACGGAAGTCACTCACTGCAACATCTGGACTGAATTTGTGCACTAATGTTCTTAGCTACTGACTTAGTCTCTCCAGGCTGCTATAACAGAATACTATGCACTGCATGGCTAATAAAAAGCAGAGATTTATTTCCACAGTTCTAGAGACTGGGAAGTAAGTCTGAGATCCAGGCATCAGCAGCAGGCAGCTCATAGGTAACCATCTTTTCACCACACCATCAAGTGGTAAAAGGGGCATGGAGAGCTTGGGGTGTCGTTCATAAGGACACTAACCCCCTTCCTAAGGGCTCCATACTCGCGATCTAACCATTGACAAAGGCCCATCACGTTGGAAATTAGATTTCAGCGCATGACTTTCGGAAGACTCAAGCATTCAGGCTACCGCGGCAGCGTTACTCACAACGGAGACAACACAAAAGTGCACCCGCAGCCGAGTGGATAGACAAACGCAGTCTGCACGCGCAAGGGCACATTTTCCCACCTTAAACGGGAAGGACATTCTCTCACACCACAAATGCAGGGACCCTGAAGACTCTGCACTAAGTGGGGTAAGAAGCAACAAGAGGGACCAACAGTGCGTGAGTCCTTGTATAGGAAATGCCTGGAATAATCAAAATCACAGGGAAAGGAAGTGGGAGGGTAGTCACCAGCAGGAAGGAAGGGGAGGATTAATGCTTAATGGAGCCGGGCGTGGTGGCGCATACCTGTAATCCCAGCACTCGGGAGGCTGAGGCAGGAGGATCGTTGCAAGTTTGAGACCAACCTGGGCGACAAAGTGAGCTCAAGGCCAGCCTGAACTGCATAGTGAGACCCTGTCCCAAAAAAGACAAAAAAAAAAAAGCTTAATGGAGCTGGAGTTTTGGGCTGGGGAGAGGAGAAAGGTCTGGAGACGAGTGGGGAGACAGGTGCCACACAGCGCGAACATGCTCCCTGCCGTGCAGCTGTGCACTTAGGATGCTTCAGGTGGTGAGTTTTATGTGATGTATTTGGTTTTTCAGTACTTGAGAGATAAAAAAAAATCTGATTTTAGCCAGGGATGGTGGTGCACACTTGTAATCCCGGCACTCTGGGAAGCTGAGGTGGGAGAATTACAAATTCAAGCCCAGCCTAGGCAATTTAGTGACACCCTGTCTCAAAATAAAAAATAAAAAGACAGTTAGGGACATAGCTCAGTGCAAAAACCCTGGGTTCAATCTTTAGTAGCAAAAAAAAAAAAAAAAGAAGGAAATCTGATGTTACTTTACTTTTCCATGTTGAAGATGTAGAACAGAACACACTGACAGAAAGAGCATAAAACACATACGCACAATTTAGTGAAGCAAAGCAATCACTCATTTAACCAATGCTCAGGTCAAACAGTAGAACACTACCAAATCAGAATTCTCCACTTTCATGATCAGGACCCTCACCTGCTTAGAGGTGATCTAGTAGCCTGTCTTTTATGATGGTCCCTTCCTCCATTTCTCCTTGTAGTTTTATCAACTCTGTGTATATTCATAGATTGTATAGCTTAGCTTTGCTTATTTTTAGACTTTCCATGGAGAGATTTGCTTTGTTTCTAACTGTATTGCAAATGAATCTGTGGGTACACATATATATGAGCACATTTTCATATATTCATTAAACAGGAAGATGCCCCTCCTCACCCATTTACATCCTAATCCCTGGAACCTATCAACTTGTTACCTTACAGGCAAAAGGGACTTTTGTAGGTGTGATTACATTGTGGATTTTGAAATGGGATGATTTTCATGGATTATCTAGGTGAGCCTAATGGGATCATGTGTCCTTATAAGAGGGAATTAAGAAAGTCAGACCCCAGAGAAGAAGACATGACAATGGAAGCAGAACTTAGGGTGAGGGCAGAGAAATGGATTTGAAAACACTATACTGTTGGCCTTAAAGGTGGAGGAAGGGGGCTGCAAGCCAAGGAATGTAGGAAGTTTCTAAAAGTCAAAGAAAGGCCAGGCATGGTGGCGCATGCCTACAATGCCAGCACTTGGGAGGCTGAGGCAGGAGGATCGTTGCGAGTTTGAGACCAGCCTGGGCTACAAAGTGAGCTTAAGGCCAGCCTGAACTGCATATCGAGACCCTGTCTCAAAAAGACAAAAAATAAATAAAATAAAATAAAATAAAATAAAAGTCAAAGAAGCAGATGCTTCCAAAAGGAACGCAGCCAGGTGTGGTGGTGCACCCCTGTAATCCCAGCACTCAGGAGGTTGAGGTAGGAGGATCGTTGCGAGTTTGCGGCCAGCCTGGGCTACAAAGTGAGCTCAAGGCCAGCCTGAACTGCATAGCGAGACCCTGTCTCAAAAAGACCAAAAAAAAAAAGGAATGCAGTGCTCTAAATATCTTGACTTTAGGACTTCTCACAACTAAAACTGTAAGATAATGAAATTTTGTTGTCTTAAGCTGCTAAATCTGTGGTTATATTTGTGCATGTGCATAAACATGCATATAGCGCCATATACGCACACACGGGTAGAGTTGCTGGGCCATAGAATATATTCAGTTTTATTGGATAATGTTAAATGATTTCACAAACTCACACAATTTACACTCCCATTAGCAGTATTTGAGAATTCTTCTTGTTCCATGCCCTCATCAACATGCTAAACTATCTGAAATTGTCAAATTATTTTTATATAAACCAATCTGGTAGTCATAAATGATGTCTTACTGTGTTTTAAATTTGCCTTGCCCTGATTACCAATAAAGTTAAGAACCTTTCCTTTCCATATATGTATTGCCCAATTGGATTTTCCTCCATGTGTTCAATCTTTTGCCCAGTTTTCTATGAAATTCTCTGAAATTTTATTTGTAGGGGTCCTTTAAATATTTCAGATACTGATACTCTAGATTACATATGTTGCAAATATCTTTTACCACTCTCCCATTTTTTCACTCCATGATATCCTTTGAGGAACCAAAATTCTTATTTAATGTACTCAAATCTTTTATGAGCATTGCTTACTGTGTCTTGTTTAGGAATTTCTTCCCTGCCTTAGCATGAGATTTTCTTCTATACCGTCTAGACTATCTTCTATACTATCTTTCATTGATCTGGGATTTATGAGACAGGTTCTAACTGAATTGTTTTCCATGTTAATGCTCATATTATACAGCAGCATTTCTTTTGTAAAGGCTGCTGGCTTTCCTTGCTGCCTCTATCATATTTGAAGCGTTCATGTATGTGTGAGTGTGAGTCTCTTTTCTGTTCCATTGCTCCATTTGTCTGTTTGAACTATGTCATATCACCTTAAATATTATAACTTTATAATATAATGGCTGGGGGCTGGGGGTTAGCTCAGTGGCACAGTGCCTGCCTGGCAAACATGAGGTTGTGAGTTTGATTCCCAGTATCAGGGGGAGGGGGGAATATATATATATATAATATAATGTCTTGTTAGAGCAAATGCTCCAACCTTGTCTTTTTTTTCTTGGTATTTCTTTATCTATGCCAGTTTTAAGCCAACTTGTCAATCTCTTCTCTCATCCCTCAAAACACTGGAATTTGGGGACTGTAATAATTCTGGAATCATTTAAAATTGTTTCTGTAGAGTATTGAGACTTCTGGGGTTGGGGATTTAGCTCAGTGGCACAGGGCCTGCCTGGCAAGCATTAGCTCATGAGTTTGATTCCCAGTACCAGAAAAACAACAACAACAAAAAAAAAGTATTGAGACTTCTATAACACATTATACCCAGTCTTTACTTCTTTAATAACTCTCAGTATGGCTAGGGATGGTGGTGCATGCTTGTAATCCTAGCACTTGGGAGGCTGAGGCAGGAGGATTGCCACAAATTTGAGGCCAGCCTGGGATGTATAGTGAGTGCAAGGTCAGCCTGAATTACAGAGCGAGACACTGTCTCAAGAAAATCTCTCTCAGTAAAGTTTAAATTTTTCTCAGTAGAGAATTTATATGCATTTTATTAGATTTAAATCTCGGTATTTTGGAATAATAAAACACTTTCTCCTTTCTTTCTTTCTTTTAGACAAGGTCTCACTAAATTGCCCAAGCTGACCTCAAATTTTCCATCCTCCTGTCTCAGCCTTACAGATATGCACCACTGCACCCATCTACAACTGATTTTTTTTTTTTTTTTTTTGTCTTTTTGAGACAGGGTCTCACTATGCAGTTCAGGCTGGCCTTGAGCTCACTTTGTAGCCCAGGCTGGTCTCAAACTCACAACGCGAATCCTCCTGCCTCAGCCTCCAGAGTGCTGGGATTACAGGGTTGCACCACCACCCCTGGCTCTACAACTGATTTTTATGTCCAGCAAAGTTGCTAAACCTTATTAGCACTCCAACCTGACCTACAGATTCTTTTGGATTTTATACCTATACAAGATATCATCTCAGAATAGGGACAAGTTGCTTCTACTTTTCTTATTTTTATAATTTTTATTTCTTTTTCTTAGTACATGGGTTAGGATAGTCTGTACAATGTTAAATAGAAGGAATCAGGCATCCTTGTCTTGTTACATATCTCAAAGGAAAAGATTTTATCATTTTACCATTAAGTGTGATGTTTCCTCTTAGTGTATTGCAGATATACTCACTCTATCAGATTAAGGAAGTTCCTTTCATCCTAGGTTTCTAAGGGTTTTTGTCATGAATGGATGTTGATTTTTATCAAAAACTTTTCCACACATAGTGAGATGATCATATGTTTTCCTTAACCTTTTAATGTGGCATAAATTTATATTCTTAATTTAAAAATAATCTGCATTCTAGAAAACTCAACATAGTCCTATATTTTTTACCATTGTATATATTGCTCGTTTATATGTCCTAAAGTTTTTAGGATTTTTGTTTGCATTTATGTTTATGAGTGAAGTTTAGGTGGCAAAATGTCCTGATTCACCAGGGGCAGCTCCAATTTATACCTGTTATACATCACGATTATTAGCTTTCCTGTCCTCCCAGCAGTGCCCTGGTTTGGATGATAAAGTTCACGGCCGCTCTTGTGAGAGTGCCTGTGATGGTGCCTTCTCCTGTGGTCCTTGTCCAGTTTTGGGATTGATACAGGAAAACAAAAACTCTGAACCTGAATAATATCTGGGACGAGTTCATGTTCTCTAAAATCGAAGAATTAATTTTAGGAACAACGGAGGTTAAGAGCAGAATATATTTATTGAGGGGGACAGAAGTGGGGCCTCAGTGGGTTGCCCAAGACTCTCTTTTCTAGGGACTTTTATAGAGCAAAACCACGAGATGAGAGGGGTCCAAGGTAGGGGAAAATGGACAAGACTATGGTCAGCCAATAAGAATTGTTCAGGTAAAACTGATTAAGCCGGGATCAAATGGGGAAGCGAGTCACGTAGCAAGGGGGCAAGAATACAGAACAGGGGCTTTTCCTGTAGGGGGTTGGGTCAGGGAGTCTTCAAGGTGATGGCTACCTATTTAGAATATCAATCCCCCCATCCTTTGGGAGGTATG